TGGGAGATCACAGTTCTTACACCATATGGAGATGCAGCAGAAGCCAATTTAAACTTGGACTTGTAATGTGTCAATTGTGGAAAAGACTATTGCTTTCATTTTCTTGGTGCTGCTGATGGATCTAATGTGTTCCTTTAATACGATTTTTCCAACAGCAGACACTGTCCAGATACCTTTCCATTCCCGTCAGACTTTTTAGAATTTGCTTTTTCTGTATGCTGAATTGCAGTAGAAGAGGCAATACCAAAAGATAAATAATTACAGAGAACAAACCTTTTGCTGCATTTGTTGTCAGAATCTGCTTTGATCAATTTTGCATGAGCATGTGCAGATATATTTGTGCCAATTCAATTTCACTTGAATGTCTGTCTGCAGGCATGGCAGCACTTAAAGCCTTTGGTCTACAGCAAGGATGATTTTATAAAAAGATTAACGTTGGTTTTAAAAGTTGCTTCAAATTTTTATCTTACAATCTTTTTTCAAAAGTAGGAATATTTTATGTGGCTAACTCAGGGCATTTTACAGGAATACAGACTTGTTCCTTCATTTTTGGCTCCTTCTCCTTTTTTTTTTTTTCCTCTCTGATCTGCTGCACATAGAAGAGGCCATTTCTTCCAGACTGCAGAGTTTTAGGGATCCTAAACAATAATTAGTCTTACTTTGATCACCATTTTCAGTCTATGCATGAAGTCTCATAAACAATACTGAATGTGTCAGAAGAACTGCATCTAATACTGTGTTGATAGCAGCTGTGGCTGTGTCAGTCCGTAAAGCCACTCCCAGGCAGTCTCAATCTACTTGGTCTGCTCACAGCCATGAAAAGCAAGACTAAGAGTCTCCTTAGTTGCCTTTTTTTGGTTGTTTTTTAAGGCAAACTTGCAGCAATAATCACAGTGAATGACACTTATTCCAGTGAAGATTCTTCTCTCAAGCTATTGTTCTATTCGTACTGAAGCATAAAATGACTGAAATTTGATTATGTCAGACCTCAGTAATTCCCTTCCCATATTGCAATTAATGCCGACACCAATTTCTTTTTCAGATATACACAAAGTCATTAGCCATATCAGCATCAATATGGATTTTTCATTTGAAAATATATCAGCATATTCACCATTTCTTACTTGTGCATACCAGCACATAATGTATAGCCTGGCACCTGCCTCATTTCACTTTTACCTTCAAAGTAGGAATGTGTTATGTCTCCATGCTATCAGTATATTTACCAGTGAATCAGAGAATTCCCAGGAAAAACAGAAGTAAATTGCAACTCTGGGTCCTCTTTTTATTCATTAGCACTCCACTGGGAAGTCAGATTACCATCTTTAAGCAACTGATCCTGAATAATTTGAATGACTAGTCCCCCCAAAACTCTTTCACACAGATTCCAAGTCATGCTGCCTTAATTAAAAGACTAAAAATAATGACGGCTATTTGCTATATTAAATGAATCTTCTGCTCACCTCTCTCATGGAATCAGAAATCTTGACCTGTCACAGTGTTGGTGACAGATATGGCCCTTAATTGTTAAAAGACTCTTTCAGCCTCTTCTCATGTAAGATAACTTTCTACAACAAGGAGGATTCTTGGAGCGTGCTGAAGTATTCTGTAGAGTTTCATTCAGGTTTTTAACAAGTTGCAATAGAAAAGCTGCTTTTGAAGTTTACACTGAAAAGATGAATGCTTTATCATTTGGATAAGTAAATTCTAGACTCCAATACAAGTCAGACTCCAGTACAACACAGGCCTTGTGAACAGTGTGTCCACAAAAAAAGGAAGTTAAAAGGGGCTTAAAGATGCTTGCTCATCCCCAAACAGGACGTTTAAAGACATTCAAGTGTAGAAGATCCTACAGAGAACGAAGTTAACAATGACAGTATTTGCCAGGATGGGACATTTTGTAATTGCACATGATGCTTTTCTGAAGAACAGAAAAATGCACTCATGAGACAGACACAGTCTGTCTTTTAGGGTCACAGTCACCAGAATTAAGGGGTTTGGGTTTTTTGAAGGCATTCAGGCACAATGCCTTTTTTTCCAAATAATACATAGCAAATAGAAAAATAGCTAATGAATAGCTAGAAGTAGCAGTTAGGGTACAAGATAACTAATTCAGCAATATACAAACACTTCAAAAAACTGCTGTTAGAAAATAAGTGACGTTTTAAGCACCTTTAGCACTTTTAGCAACTGTCACACAAAGGGATGCATACCTGCACAGAGAATCTATGACTAAATTTTGTAAGAAAAAATAATTATTAAACCCAAAATATTACACTTAATAACCAGCAATTACACACAACAGCTTGAGACCAAGTATAGCAACTGCAAATTAGGTGATTTTTCAAAGTGCCTCTGGGAAAACCCAAGACTGCAGTATTTCTGGTCATTATTGATGTGCAGGAGATGTAGCCTTCAATATTTACAGTGTCACAGCTTGGTAAATCATAACTTACTTAATGTTGTTAAATTATCACCTGCAAAATGAGTGATGTGCAACATGTAGTAAGATAGCAACAATATACTGGCCAAATCAAAACAAAGACTAATCTTACAAAACTCTGAGTTCAAAAGATTGCTAGATTTTTATTTGTTTATAATTCTGAAGTTGCCCATTTACCTGGAAGAGCGAGCTCTGTTTTTCTGTAACCGGTGCCTTTTCTATCCAGGAATCCAGTGGTTTCAGTGTATTGGTATTCTGAGTAACAACAGGAAACTTAGCTGCCAAGGTTGGTCTGCTGGATACATGCAGCTGTTGTTCTTGTTGCACTATCTGGAGTTTTTTCAGTAACTCCTGAGGTGAAATCACCCCAGAATTGGCTGGTTGATTGCCAGAGAGAGAAAGTGGCTGTCTAGGAAGTTTGGATTGTTCTTTACCCAGTGTCTGAGACTCTAAAGTCTGGCCTGGTAGGGAACCATTGAAATACACCAAAGGTGGCTGGCTCATATTGTTTACTTGTGCTTCTGGAGCGCCCACAGCTTTTTCTGCTGAACACAGCAGCTGTCGAGTTCACAGATCCTGTTGCACTGGGGTCCATTTTAGTCACTGACCCTGACGGACCCTGTAATTTCTGTAGTAAGCTCTGAGTGCCAGCAGTATCCTGAACTACGTGAGATGTTGCGATACCATGAGAAGTCACAGGTTGGAAGAGTCCTGTGAAAGTCTCGCCCACAGGGTGGAGATTGCCATTTTCACAGAGTCGGTTCTCAGGAAACTCAGCAAGCGGATGAAGGTCTGTCCCACGCACCATAAGCTTCTGAATGGCGGGGCAAAGCTGCTTCTCTGCAGAGGGCGAATGCCTGCTAGGTTCTTCGTAGGAGAGTGAACGTACCACACCCTGCCTAACAGGAAGATTCTCTTGATGCTGTTTATTAAGCGGTTCTGAGACATCTGGCTTTTCTTGTTTTCCAAACAGTGCTGTCAAAGACAAGTGCTGTGGTTCAGCATCCACATTCTGTGAAGGGACAAAGGAAAAAAGTAAACATAGTTCCCTCATGCATAAGTTACTTCAAGTGGTGACAATATTTAGCCAGCAGTATTAAAGGAAAAGCTGAGAAAGCTGCTATGCTCTTTTCTCCCAAGAGAATTTTTAATAGTTCTGTCACATAGGAAGGGCAAGAAGACAGTTGTCAAGCTGCTAATGTGGGAGAAAACCAGTGAATCTGAGAGTTAGCGGTGGCTTCACTTGAAATACTATGAAAGAGCATCTTCCCTTTCAGCCATCAGTACAGTATTAGTAAGAGACAGAAATCTCCCCTTGTGTGAAGTAGAGCCACTTGTGCATCTCCCTGTCATAGCCAAATTCAGCTTCTAGGATTTTGCAGTGTGATCTAGCTTGAAGATATATCAAGAGACTTTTCTTTATTTAGATTAACTGAATTCACCTAAAGGAAAAGAACACAAAAAATGTGGTCCAGCAGTTGACTAGACCAGCTTGAGATCAAAGCAGAATCTGAAAACTGGAAGACTAACGTTTCTCCATTACGTCAGGATAATATGCCTGTAATGTACGTGTTTCCACATCATATGGTGGGGGATAGGGGCTTTTTATAAAACAGATTATTTTTTCATGAAAATAATTCCTTACTGTGGTTCCACCTGAAATTCTTGCACTGACCTTCTGACTCAAATAAATATTCCTACATGGCTACTTGAATACGGCAGCACTAGGCAGAAAACACACAAAACATTTTACCTTGCTTTGCTGAGATATTCGTTGATGCTGATTTTCACTAGGCTTCACTGGAATTGGTTTGATTAGGTTGGGATTGTTATAGATTGCGGAGGAGCTGGTTATTTGTTTTGGCTCTGAGCAGGTCTTACACTGCAAAAGAAAAGAAGTATTTTTTATTAAGTAGGACAATATCTTTTCCCATAGTTCTCCACTACAGTAAAATCCAGGCATAGCCAAATATTCAATGACCAAAATTATTAATTGCAGCACTGATTATGAAATGTTATGCTATTGAAACTGCGTAACAGCTACAACCAAATTTTCTAAAACCACAAAGCATATGTAAAAATAAACACTTGATCCCAAGATTCCCTGAGTATCAGGCTTTCCTTTAATTTAAATCTCAGTTCTCTTTCTTACCTTCTGCTTTTCCAGCACTTAAAAAAAAATTTTAAAAAAAAAAAGCACCTTAGAAACCAAGCAACAGACATGCTTTTCCTGCAATAGTAGGCAACTAGAAGTAGTTTAGATACATGAAGGATTAATGTGCCCATAAAGAACATTTAAAATGCTTTTTGTTAAAACCCAGAATTATACCTCAAACACTTTTACATAAATATTCCACATTATGGGAACTTGGAAGATACATATACCCACACAGAAAAATAATTAAAGATTTAATCAATTTGTAGAATCAGTATGTTTTCTTATTAAATAGGACAGAATTAATAACAGTATTTATAAAAAGATGGGCAAAGACAGATTACAAAGTGATCAGGGACATGGAATGACTGATATATGAAGCAAAGGGCATGAGTCAATTCAGAAAAATGTACAGAAAATGCTACATGAAAGAGAAATAATAAATGCACTAGGAAAAAGTAAGATGGTCTTATTTCCACTATACAAAAAATAAGAATATAGTCAATGAAACTAAAAAAGCACTGGGTATACAAGGAACACTATTGTCAGCAGAAAAGAAAACAGTATATTGGAAGTAATTGTGGCTTGATACAACTGAAACCAATAAACCAGAAAGATTTTTTTAAAGAATTATCTAACAAAAAGTAAATCCTATCTAACAAGAATATTCATAGTTAACTACCTGAATTTGATGGGCTTGAAATTTTATGCCGCAGGACTAATGGTTGGGTAAGGAATGATCAGTTTTGGTTTCTCATTCTTCAGTCCAAAGAGCCCAGTCTTGCGCATTACTGGGGACAGAACTCTGGATTGGACAGACTGCCATATGGACACACAGCAGAGCCACTGCTGTGTGATCATGAAAATGTCAGCATCCTCTCCAGAACTTTCCAAGACAAACTCCTTAGGACACAAATGTGATAGGTGAGAAAATAACCCCCACTCTCAAATATACAAAACTGATAATTTAATCCATTTCTGATACCTACCACAACAGTACACAAAGACACACTGGTTTCGGGGCTGCTCAGTAAAACAGAAACTGAGTTTGCAACCTTTGTTCTCAGGGATTCCAGGCCCCTGAGGCTCATGGGAGAGTCTGGAGTGACAAAGACTTACCCTTGGTAGGGGAGGATCAAGTTAGGCAGCATGTAAGCACAATGGACATACACAAGTCCATGGGACCAGACGGGATGCATTTGTAAGAGCTGAGAGCACTGTCTCTCTCATTGTAAAACCGTTCTTTATTTTTGAAAGGTAAAGGCAATTGAGGGAGCTTCCCGAGGACTGGAAGAAAAGAAATATCAGTACTATCTTCAAGAAGGGCAAGGAGGAGGATTTGGGGAACTTAATTTTACTGGGAAGGTGATGAAAAAAATTTTTGAACATATTAAAGACAAGAATGATTGGGAGTAGCTAGCGTAGATTTACAAAGGGGAGATCATGCTTGATCAGCCCAATAGCCTTTTACTGTGAGATGACTGGCTCAGTGGATGACGGGAGAGCAGTGGATATTGTTTACCTTGACTTTTGCAAAGCTTTTGACACTGTCTTTCCTAACGTCCTCAAAGACAAACTGATGAAATGCCAACTTGGTAAGTGGACAGTGAGGTGGATAGAAAATTGTCTGATCTGCTGGACTCAAAATATTGTTGGTATGAAGTCCAACTGGAGTCCAGTCACTAGTGGTGTATCCCAGGGTTTGACATTGGGGTCGATATTGTTCAACATCTTCACCAATACCCTGAATGATGTGGCAGAACAGGCTTATAAACAATGTAAAAAAGGGATGTGTAGTTAATAGACCAGGTGGTTGTGCTGCTGTACAGAGTGACCTTGACAGGCTGGAGAAATGGGCTGACAGGAACATGAAGTTCAACCAAGGGAAACTGAGGAAGAATAACCCCATGCAGTACAGGTTGGTGCTGACCGACTGAAAAGCAGCTTTGCCAAAATGGACCTGGGTGGACAAGAAGTTGAATACAAATTGGCAACGTGCCCTCATGGCAAAAGAAGGCCAGCAGCATCCTGGATTACATTAGACAGAGCATTGCCACATGATCAAGGGAGGTTCACCTCTACTGAGCCCTTGTGAGGCCACTGGTTAGACCCCCTCTACTGAGCACTGCAGTGGGCTTCCCAGCACAAGAAAGATGCATACACACATAAGTGAGTTCATTGAAAGTCTACGAAGTTGATTTAGGCACCTGTCAAGCAAGGAGAGGCTTAGTTTCCAGAAGAGAAGGCTCAGGACATAATATCAATGTGTATAAATACTGGATGGGAGGAAGTAAAGATGACCAAGCCAGACTCTTCTCAGTGGTGCCCAGTGAAGATAAGGGGCAAAAGGTAAAAAACATTATATACAAGATCTTATATAAACTTAAGGAAAATTTTTTTTACTTTAAGGATGTTTGAATACTGAAACAGGTAGCCCAGCGAGGTCGTGGAGTCCATAAAGATATTTAAAACCTCACTTAACATGGCCCTGAGCAACCCACTTTAGCTGATACTACTGTAAACAGGGAGGCTGGACTAGACTATCTCCAGAGGTCCCTTCCAATCTCAATGATTTTGTGAGTCTCTGCTGAAAAATCATCTTGTGGGTGTTCGGACAGTCAAGGGCTTCTGCAATGAATCTGTGAAGGCATGATCTTGCAAAGTAGAAGTGTTGTTCCACTCATGTACCTGGCTCTCTTCTACTATATGACAACTTTTGGTTCAAATGTTACTCTTAGAAATAACTTAAAAGCATGCACAATCATGCCATAGGGTGGTTAGCTATTCAGTTTGAAGAAGGAACAAGCACCTGTCTCTTCTTTCCTGCCATACCCCTACTGCATAAAATGAGAAACCTTCTCAAGCACTACATTAGAAAAAACATGAAGAACAAAGTACTGACTTTGGCAATAATGCAGAGCTTCACAGCAAAATTGAACTTCAGTTAAATATAAAACCACATAGCAAGCACCTCACGGCTAATCTGAGCAGGCCCCATTCAACATGCAAATATATTTACAACTCAGCTACCTTTTTTGCCCTCTCTGGAAAGAAAAAAACAAAACAAAACCCAACACATTCTAGTAAAATTGTTTCTTTGACCTCTCATTCACCCTGAGCCCTTCTACCCATCTCACAGTGCAGTGCAAGTTTAATCACTAAAGATGTCCCAAAATTCAAATAAAGAGCTAAGTCCAAAGACTATTCATGGTAAGCAAAACAGTTTTCTTTTAAAGCTAGTCCATGCTTACCTGCCTTCCCTATGATTACCTCCTTTCTCTATGATTCAAAGCCTGATTAATGGAAGCACTTGACAGAAATCTACACTTAACTGAAGTTTCAGTTTTGCTTTGCAATTCATATTTCTAATAGTTAGAATCATAGAATGTTTTGGGTTGGAAGGGACCCCTAGAGGTCATCTAGTCCAACTCCCCTGCAGTGAGCAGGGACAACGCTAACTCGATCAGGTTGCTCAGAGCCCCATCCAACCTGTCCTTGAATTATAATAGTTGTGAATGGATTGCTGTGAAAAAAACAGAACAGAAAGAAGCCATGAAAAAAAGTGTAGACTACAGGCCTACAATACTAACATAACTATTAAAGCTTTTACACTAAGGAAAAAATTCCTTTCCATTTATTAGCTCTGAGTTACATTTATCCATGCACTGCTCAAACAATTTGTTTTCTTAGGTTGTCCTGAGCTTACATGTTGTTATCCTTGAATCTGAGTAGCTTACTTTATTTTTTTGTTTGTTTTCTACAAGCTTTATTTTATCACCAGGCAGTTCTATGGATCCTCAACAGTGTGCTAGACTGAATTATTCTTAAATCTTTTTCCCCACCCAGTTGCTGACTGGTGACTTATGTTGTCTCTCATTCACTTAATGACAATTAGGTATCTTACCTAGTTAATTATCAGATGAAAGCTTTTTTCATTGTCTAAAGAATTGCTTCCTGTAGCCCTATTTGGTCTGTACTAAACCAAGTGAAGATCATTTTCTTTTTTAGATTGGACAGATCCTAACCTGTTATGATATTACATAGACCAAAACCACACTTCAGTAATATTAAATAGCTTTTTTTTTCTCCCAACTGTTCTCCTACAGGATGCCGTCTTTCCTTCAATATTTCTCCTTCTTATTGCTATTTTTCAGCATAGCTTTTTGGGCAAGAAACATATAAGCATGTTTTTAAACTTTTTTAACATGATGGATAACATATTCTTGCATATTTCACAATGAGTTCTGCAGAATTTAAATAAATCCATTTGGCCCTTTTTTCTCCAGGATATTTTAATAGGCTGACTTCTTCAGAAAACATGATTATCTCAGATTCCACTGTCATACTCTGCATGATCACAGAACTAAGTATATAAAAAAAGAGGTAAGAAGCAGTAGAGTTTAACAGAGTTGTCACTATATGAGCAGTTTTCAGACCAAATTCCTCAGCAAAATGAATATCAGTATACACACAGGCCTACAGAGAATGACATTGACCTGACGTTCCCATGATTTGATAACATGGCTAGTAGGCTGGTATCAAATACAGAGAAGTATGCTGAAGAGAAAAAAAAGCCTGTGATGATTTCAAAGGAATCTGTAACTACTGAAGCTCAGAATATAAGGTCATTTTGGCAAATGGGTAGCATGGCCTTGCTGATGACTAAATTAGGAGCACCGGCATGACATTTTAAGGAACTGTCAGGTGGACAGGTAAAGAAGATACCAGATGTCATCATCATCAAACAGCAAAAAGCAGCATGAAAGAAATGTCACCATGCTCTTTAGTGACAGAACCAGCAGAGTACTCATCAGCTACATCTGACGATTGCTACATCTTGCTTCACAGGTCTGTCTTTTAGTCATGCGTCTTGTTCAAAGCTATGCTCCTACAAAAGATGCATAAGAAATCAAAAGGTTCTAAGATCAAGTCAAAGCAGGTCCAGAGGAGGGCTACTAAAATGATCCGAGGGCTGGAGCACCTCTCCTATGAGGACAGGCTGATAGAGTTGGGGTTGTTCAGCCTGGAGAAGAGAAGGCTGCAGGGAGACCTGATTACAGCCTTTCAGTGCTTAAAGGGGGCCTATAGGAAAGGCGGGGAAAATCTTTTTAGTAGGGACAGCTGTGTCAGGACAAGGGGAAATGGTTTTAAACTAAAACAGGGTAGGTTTAAACTGGATATAAGGAAGAAATTCTTTACAATGAGGGTGGTGAAACACTGGAACAGGTTGCCCAGAGAGGTAGTGGAGGCCCCATCCCTGGAAACATTCAAGACCAGGTTGGACGGGGCTCTGAGCAACCTGATCGAGTTAGCGGTGTCCCTGCTCACTGCAGGGGGGTTGGACTAGGTGACCTCTAGGGGTCCCTTCCAACCCAAAACCTTCTATGATTCTATGAAGTGCTAAGCAACAGTGGGAAAAAACCCCAGACATGTGTGATGAGCATCAGTCAAAAAACAAGACCACCACTTTGGACGTTTTAGGCAAGTTTGGTATAGTCAGAGACATCTGAGGCAAACAACGTCTCTGTGTTGTAAGATTTCACAGTCTACCTGTAAAACGTGAAGTTCAAGCTGAACAGAACATTGTCAAAGGAAACAAAGAATGGACAAGCATGGTAGCTCATATTGCAGTTCTCCTGAAGCAAATACCATGTCACATCTCAATCTGATACTCTGCAGCAAAAACCTGCCTTTGAAACATGTGAGCTGCAAAGACCTATCAAGTACAAGGAGGAGATGCTAGAAGACCTGATACAAGGAGAAAAGGCCAACAAGACCTGATGGAAGTTAGAAGAGCTTTGTAGATAGACAGCCATGCTGAAAGCAATGAAGTTTTGAATTTGTCAGAGCTTGAGTGCAGAGCTAAAAAGCCCTGGGGATTTCTACCTAGCTGATGTAAAGCAGCCACAAGACAACATTAATACAACATTAATAGACAGTCACATGAAGGTGCACAAGGTGCTCTGCAGAGGAAATGGGGTAAGGAGGACAAGCACTGTCTCAAAGAAGAGCAGTAGCAGAAAGTATTTCCCGTCAGAGCCCCACTTAAACGAGACATACAAAACCAATTCGGACTGTTTAAGAATAGTAGCATAGACTCTGCATCATCCAAGCCGAGTATGGCACAGTGCCCTCTTAGGAAAGTGAGGCCTTCTGGGTCCTGCTATCAAGACTTTCACACAGTTAACAAATCAAAAGCTAAAGCACCTGAAAACTTAAAAACTATATTGCTGTTTGGGCAGGGCAATACATTGGAACATTTTGCTGAAAGACAGTGGAGAAGCAGTCAAAGAACAGAAATAGAAGTCCAGAGGCCATGCTTGCTCACAACCAGAAATTATGTTCTTATCAAACGGTTGTGTGTAATGAAGTAATGAAGAAGGAAGCTTCAGTTATTTGAGGCACATCAACCAGACAAAGGATGTCTACCTAATCTGACCTTTAATAGATCAAAGATGGTGTAGTAAATGAGTAGGTGCTGCATAAGAACTGGGCAGCACAGAGCTAAAACCAGATCTTATCTTGTAGTACAAGACAAGGCACAGTGGTTAAGGAGAAAAACAGTTTGTCATGCTTCATTCTGTACCCTAGCAGCTCTTCAACTGTTTATCTCTCTAGCTATCCCTTATGAGGCCTGCTAATACCAGTTCTTCTTACTAGCAATCAGGAAAAGGCAAGTGAGCATCAGAAGTTCATTTTTCAAAAGATACTTTAGTGGTTTAGCAACTTAAAGCTCCATTAATCAAAAAGGAGGACAGAGGCTATGTATTTTATTTTTCATGTAACCTCTAGATGTGTAACAATTTCAGAATAAGATACACCCTTCAAAGTTAGTTACTCTTGAGAAAAAATTCATCCTAGGACTTAAAAATTGAGTAAAATTCATTAGATGCTTTGAAAATTGATGTTCTTATTCTACAGCTCCCAACACTTTAAAACACGCTCTTCTCCAAAACCACACGGAATTAGAAAAGGAGAACAACATATTTCATAACCGATTTCAACACATCAGCATTGTAAATCACAAGACACACTGGCAAGGATGTAGATGTCATAGAGGAGCCAAAAAAGCATGACTGCTGTGAAATATATCGACATTAAATACAAAAATGGTTGTCATTGCCTCTATTTATCACACCCTTCCTAATTTTATATTACTAACAAAACAAGCATAGAACCACATATCCAGTTCTTGAGGTCAGATACTGCTAGTACTCATGTTCCAGATGAAGAGGAAGTTGTCATGTTATTTCCTTAGCAATCACTTAAATGCAGAAAGATTAAAGATGAAGTAAGAAGCAAATTTGCAAAAGATCTTACCTGCAGGGGAAAAAAATTCAAACCCCTATTATTTAAACAACAGATCTTCTAGAATTTCCTCTCCTTTGCTTGATTTTCTGTGTGCTCATGTAGAAATGGAAGGTAACTTTTTTTAGATTTATGACCTCCTTCTCATAGAATCTGAAGACAGCCTAATATTTTTCCATTTACAGTATTTTTAAGGTTATTTAATGAAAACTGCTTAAACCTTTCATAGTATCTCAAATCACACTCTTTTATACCAAGACCAGATACTGATTCAGTATTAAAACATAGAAAAGATACCAGGTTTTGGAGGTGTTTGTCCACTAAGGTACATTAATTCCCTCTTACTGAAGATATGAAGGTCCTAAAGCTTCTTTTTGAAGCTATACCACAACAAAAAGGGCTACATTTAACCATAACTCAAATAGTTTGCTATTATCTTTCTGAGGATCTTATTACTATTCACATTTCAGAAAAATAACTTTTTCTCTCTTTAAATTGCTTATGTTTAAAATGTAGAGGTTTTTAGACTCCAAACACTTATGAGCTTTATTATTGCATGACAACACACATGAAATACAGGAAACAGCAGTAAGAACCTGCAGGATCTGTAACTATTTGCATCATATAGATGAATAATTAAAATTATTAGATTTTTATTCCCCAAAGTAAAACGTTTTTGATTGCCCAATAATACAGAACATTATTAGTCCATTAGTTACTACTTTATTTCAAAGCCTCAGAAGACTGAAGCAGTACATGGGCTGAAATCATACTACATTTCAACCTTTTTATTTCCTTCCATTAGTGTTTGAAAGTAGCTAACAACCACAATTAAAAGCAGTAATTTCACTGTTAAAGGTCCTCTCTAAGGGAAGTTATTTGTACAAACCACAGAAACTATTAGCAGGTTTGAATCCATCCAGAAAGGACACAACCCCAGGTGCTACTCAATAAGCAATAAGCACAGGAGCTGCAAGTGTCAAAATGAAAGCCAATTATACTTGTTCTTACATCCTAGCATTCAACAAATAATCAATCATATGTATGTTCTCCTTTCAGAAGTTTTTATTGATGGCATTAATTTCTTTTGGATCTTTAGCAAATTCTGCCAAACTTTTCTACCAGCCACTTCCATACAAAACGAGAGAGCACACTGTCCAAAGCCAGTCTCTCCTTGAGTAAAAGTATTTAAAAACCTTTTATGTCTTAAAACGTAAAGTGTGAGCAAGTTGTCATCATAGTATCACCAAAAAGAAATGTTCTGTTTTTACAGACACCAAGTCTCACCTTGGTATACTCATCTTTGGCCTTGGTAAGCATCCGTAAGATATCCACTTCTTTGTTATTAGCAGAATTCATGATCATCGGGGACACTCCTGTTCCTGTGCCCTGCTGTGCTTTGAATTGTTCCTGCTGAGTTAGGCTGAAAGTTGGAGGTGAGAGGAGAATATACAAGACAAAAAACAGATAAAATATAAAAAGTTTAACCACAACTACTTAATCAAAACTTAAATATTTTCATTTTTCCCCCCATCTACATTAAAACACGTGTAAAAAAATCTCTATTAAAATATCTATATTAAAACATAATTTGACCAGGTGTGCAATTAATTTTCTCCAATCTTGAATATGCTAGGCTATAGACTAAAATTTCTGGAACACAGTCACAATTTCTATACCCAGAAGGAGCAGGGAATTTATAGTGTTATTCAGATCTGCTAGTGGTGGAGGATGGCAAACACACACAAATCAGTCATTAACTACTAGCAAATGACCAATTTCCTGCCCCAGCTGTTTTATTATTATTGTAGAATGCTGAGAATTAAAACACACAGCCAATTGGCTGAGCGACAGGGTATTTTTTATCTATATGCAACACTGCTATTATAAACCACTACACATGGTTTACAATTGCATGAATCCTCTGAAAACTAGTTTTTATTGTAGTAAATTACCAGTTTGAGAGTACCTAATCACCACCAAGTGAAACTCGAGCTAGTTAACTAAAATTAGCTGTCAAAAACCTGTGTTTCCTAGGCTTATTTCTGTAAATTCATCCCCATCAATTATTTCTTGGGTCACAACTGACTCATTTTAGAGCTGTAGGATACACAGCAAAACCAACAAAAACTCTTAAACAAACCCCCACCACTGTCACAGTCTGTGTTTCACAACGTTTTGTCACTGCAAAATGAAAATCAGCAGGTATTACTTTAAAAAGAGATATAGAGGAAACATGACTACCTTCCCATGCAGTATTCTATAACAAATCCTATCTGGAACATAGCAGTAGAAGAGGTAAAGCACTTTGCTATGGATCGAGATGTGCGAGGATGAGCCTTGTTTGGACTTGTACTGCAGGGCACATAAATGGGCTTTTGGGCACTTGGTAACTTTGGCAATCAAAATTGATGTCACTTCCTCAGCATGCTTCTGGCTACAGAAGCTGTTAAGACTGGGACAGATGACCTGAAAAGGAGAGATTCACAGGTCTGACAGTGCCTTTGCATTGCGCTCTGTTAGTACCTAATGCTGTCAGCTTGACTGCATCTGCCTCCCATGGCTTTTCGTGGGATGACAAAGACCTGGCTCTGCATCATCCCTCTTCCTGTCCCTTAAAAGAATTGTGACACAATGGTATGTCCAGCCCTATATACTGCAGGCAACCTGTACATCCAATCTCTGCCCGTTCCTGTCGGGCCCCTTTACTATATCCTCCACATTACACCTCTAATAAATTTAGATTGGTACGTTGATAAAAACCTATTAAGACTTCAGCTCCTTCCTCCTCCAAACAAACATGAAAATCTGCAGAATAAAGTCATAAGAAAGGGATCATTGCAAACAAGCCCATCATTAGGCCAACCAGAGGGTAGAGCAGAAGAATGAGCCCTGTCCATCCTGGACATGTGAAGAAAGCAGTGACAGTGAAAAATAAAAAATAAAAAAAAATCCATGTTATTGTTAGATTAAAATACAGCTGAAAATACAGTTCTGCTTGGAATTTTAACCTCTGATTTCATTGCAAAATTAAAGATTTTATAACATGTATAAACTAATATTATTATGTACATAAAAGTAATGAATTCAAAGCTAATTAAAGTCTTGCTTTATATTCCAAAAACAAAGTGAATTTTGTACATACTGCTAAGAAATAAGGAAGCGGGAATTCAGCCATGATGTAGAAACAGCATGAAAACCACAGAAATTGTATTATTACAGTATGCCTTCATGATAGCCCACACTTACATTGATATAGGGAAAAAAAGGTAAAAGCAACACCAAAAAAGAAAATCTTCCCAAACTGAAAAATATATTAAAACCCCAAAGAATAAAATTCTTCAAAACAGATCTCTGAGTCATCAGGAAATAAATCAGATTAACTGTTACACTCTGATGTAGCTGGAAAGCTGTGCAACAAATTATGAAAAAGTATTGTAATACAGTGACTTATTTCTGATTACACAAAATGCAGGTGTGTGACAATTTTACTTGCAACAAAGTCTATAAAAAGAGGTTTAAGGTAGAAAGGTATGACCATCCTAGTAATATAATGTGCATGTATGTACAGAAATACATACATTAAAAAAGCACAAAAAGTCTTGTTTACCCATCACTTACTTTTTCATGAGCTCTGCAATTCTTTGGCATTCTTCCTTATCATAAAACCAAATCCCATATATGGACACTGTAAATGCACATCAAACACAAACTATGAGCATCTTCTCAAACAGCAATTCTACCTGGTAGATATTTAAAAGTTACCTGTAAAGGAATTTTTAAATTTATTTGTGTCTCATGTTTTCCCCATCTATAAACATAAAAATGACACCTCATATCCTCCAAAATCAAAAAAGATCACGGGCATATCTCTAAGGACGTAAATTACAAGCTCTTGAACCTTCAATAAAGGCAGAGGTATTTGATCCTTTTCTTCAGCACACTAAACCAGAGGTTTTTTTCCTTAAAACCTTTTCCTCTGTCAATTTTTTCAGTTGTCATATCATAACCATTAGACTCCAGTGGCTAGTGTACTGCAGGTAGTGTTGCACGCACATATAAGCAAGCAAGATTTGCGTAGCTTTCAACAACCTTCAGGCCTATCTTATATATCATCGAAGTTGTTAGAGTAGTACTAATGCACCTCTGCCTCCCTGCAGATTTCCTATAATGTTGCCTATTATTTTCACCACCAAAGAAGTAATTACCTGTAGCTAACCCTAGGATTAGAAAATCTATATCTAAGTTCAGACCTCCACCAATGTAAGTGCCTGCAGCTTTGCACAGCAACAACAGATTTAAATTTACTAGTAGTTCAAGATTCTCAAACGTACACATCGCTAATGAAACCATCATGATGGTAATAGCCATAATAGAACTGTAGCTAGTGCAGTTTCCACCATAATAAACAGGGAGCTTTCTCCACTCACGACCATGCTATGTAGCTCTTGTAAGATAGCCTGGGAATAAATCTGCACCACTGACGCAAAACAACCTGTTCACATTTGTCAGGGTAACTGTCCTACTTTTAACCACAGGCACAAATTTGCTCTGAGAAGAGGAAGGGAGACACACTTGAAGGGTTAACACAGATCTCCCCCCAGCCCCCGTCACCGCAACCTTGTGTGACATCCCCATTTCCTTTACATTATATGGTAGCAGATAGGTAGCTGCTGTGTTTCTTCCCCCCTCCCTTTCCTATCATACTGCAGGCAAGAGCTTTCCCTTAATCTTGCTAAGAAATGGCAATTCCTAACATGTCTTCAAACATAGTAGAGGCCAGATTTTATTTGAAAGGGGCATACATGGATCGAGTACCTGTTTAAAAACAATTGCAACACTGACCCTGATCATGAAATATTTCCTTATATTAGCACAATCCAAAAGCAATCACTTCTTCAATTCCACAGAACCAAAACTGTGGCATATGAAGTACAAGTTGGCTTCGTTAATGTTTGGAAAGAAAATGAATGTGCAGCTGTTTGTAAGACACAAGTGTAATACTTATCTCCATTCCCCCTCAGATTTTCAACCATGTGGTGTCTTTTATGCAGCTAAAAATGGTTCAACTGTTTAATACAGCATACTGGTGAAAAGCCTAAAAAAACCCCACAAACCAACAGCCATCCTGCAGACATACAATAAATAACTTTTAAAAGATGTACAGTCCTTTTTATGATTAACTTTTGAGAAGTGTGATGATGATTTCTACTATTCACCTAAAAAAAGGCAAGTAACAGAATATGCGCCAGTGGTTCTACAAACATGCAGCATAAGAGCTGATATGAACTGCAAAAATAACCTCCCTTTTGTAACATAAATATTAATATTAAAATCTGCATTTAAATACATTAATATTCTAACCCATTCCAGTAAGCAGCCGATAAAAACTGCAAACCTGTAGAAAAGCGTGTGCACAATTCGCAAGGTTCCAAACCACCAACCTATTATGCAAAACCACACATCCTTCTGACGAAACAAGTCTTAACATTTCTTGTCATCCCTATTACAAAGTAGCAAGCAGACTGAAAACCCCAGACAAGTCAAATTTGTTTTAATCAGGATTCTTCTTTGTTATAAAAGAATCACCAATGCAGAAGAGTATTGATGAAACTTTGGCCATCTGCTCCATCCTCTCAATTTTTTTTTTTTTTCTGTCTGCCACAGCTGGTGGCATCACCAATATGCAAGGCAGGTTGAACAGCTTCTTCACCTTTTGGCCAATTGATCAAACATGTCATAGGCTATTCCTGAATATCTGCTAAGTTTGAAAGCTGACAGTCCCATGGAAACACTGCAGTGCTTCTGGGCAAACCACCACCCCAACAATATATTGCATCTTAACTGAAGCTTTAAGTCAGGATATTGTAGTTCCAGAGACCTTTAGCGTAGATGTTAGGCCAAGCCTCAAACCCACCCACCCACTGTTACTTTCTTACCTCAGTCAAATGGTACTTTCAACCCAGACTAAGGAAGCACAGCTGAAAGCAAGCTAAGACCAAACCCCAACACCCTCTGAGCTAACAGCTCACCCATTCAGGAGTGAAATCTTTCAGAAGTGGACAGTCCTCCTCTTCTTCCTTCCACACTTCTCCCATCTGTCCAGAGCAGATGAATGCTTCAGAAACACACTGAGAAATAATCACGTAACCGCTCCATTTGTTGCGGCACAACATACTCTGAGCTCCTCCACGCATGGGAGAACGACGTACCAGTGAGAAAGCACTGACTTGGTGGAAATCCGATACCAGGTATGCAAAGTACACTAACGTATGTTTTCATATTGGGTGCTCATCACCCGGAGTAACCATGGTGTAAATTCATACTACAGTAGTATATTCTGATATAATCTACGTTTAAGGGAAAAAAATGTAAATAACTAATAAAAAATGTGTAATAATGGCCATCTTCTTGCTTAATGACGAACATAAAATGGCAATTTTAAAATTTTTTTTTAACGTGGATTACAACACATAAAAACCCAGGACCAGCAAAAGAACCCAAGATGATTACAAACTGTAACTGTCAAGCTAGGAACCTGGCACACTCTCCACTAATAAAAACTAAATACACATGCAATACAAATTTCACTACAAGCTTTCTACCACCATGAAAACACTGCATGTCTTATCAGGATTAAATCTAAACAGATTACTTTTATCCGCCCTCTACCTCTATCAGACTGTTTGCAAAAAGGAAATCCTGTTCTAAGTATCATCTGTAGAGTGGTAATTTCACTAAAACGCTCACATGTCAAAAATGAATCATTAAACAGGGGAAGCACAACTGAATCACTAAACAGCAGATGCACGAAGCAAATTCTTCTACTGCAGCACAAAAGACGAAATATTAAGTCACTTTTAGGCCCAGCTTCAGCTATAAAGCTATCCAAGAAGAGATTATTGTGAAAAACAGAAAAAGAAAAAACAAATCGGTGTCAAGGGTCTTCTGCTAACTAAGTGAGCCAGGTACATCAAAAGTAGCAAACGAAACCCCAATAAAGAGAGCTAGTCTTATACTGACAAGACAGTACACATCTATTCATGCATTTCCAACCAATCTGAAGTAATTTCCTAAATGAGATTCAGTCATGAACTGATCACATTAAAGAAAAAAAAAAAAGCACCAAAGTTATGATGTTGTTAACAAGATTACACAAAACCAGAAGGATATAATGCAGCTATCAAATCAAGATACAATTAATACTGAACGGGAATAAGCTAAATAACTTAAATCATCTACCTGAAATTATTAAATATTAAGAGGTATCAGTCTTAGAATTTTCAGAATTTGAGGTAGATTACTCATAAATCAAACCTGAAAAATTTTAACAAAATCTGTGAAGCTCATTTAATATAGCTCAGTGATTGAATTTCAGGAAGTATATTATTTAATTTTTAAGTCACAACTTCAGCGCCAATTCTACAGCTTCCGCCTATACAATTTTCATTTTTTGGCTACAGATTTCTCCTGTCCTCACAAACACTAGAGCACTTGATACTATTTATAAGCAGAAGCTGACAGCTGCTATCTACCAGAATTATAGATGACAATTTCTAACCTCTTAAAATCTTAAACATTTATTATGATGATGAAGAATTTCTTACCAACTTTCACAATTCATGCTAGGTATCCTATCAAAAAGGGAGGCATTTTCTCTAGGTTTATTTATTTTACTCTTCATTTGCCTAGCTTCAACTTCCGGCTATTAGATTTCGGTTTTCTGGACAGACATTTCCATTACAAAGTTTTAGTTCTGGTGTACCTGCAACACATTATTTTTAAGCTACTGCTCCACAGACTGCATACAGTATTTTAAGCTTGGTAAAAATAAATACAGAAATATCGTAACTACTGACTGAAGGCTACCCTGTACCTAAAAACTGTTTTACACTTGCTGGTATTAAAAATAAATAAATAAAATTATTCTACAGCTTTTATGTTTTATTCTTGATATCATGCTTCCTAAGGTACTTTATTCTAGTTGTTCTAGTATTCTATGCCACTATATTATGGCATAAACTCTTGCTCCTGAGTATGTAAATCCACACTTGGCTATATTGAAATGTAGTTTGTCTATGCATATCTTACAAAGTAGCCAGACTCCTTTATGTTGGCCATCTTTCCTCTACTATCTACCATTCATGTAATATTTGACTATCCAGCAAGCTATCAATGCTTGCATTTCTTTTTTAGTGCGTATTAGAATATTGCAGCCTCCATTTTGCAGGACCTACTGAAAAAAGAACCAAAGCAGGTTATATCTACAATAATATTTTTAATCTACGAGTTCTTAACTTAAAACATGAATTAAAGCATGCCATGTTAATTTTGTGCTCTTCTACTCCAATGCAAACGTGATCCCTTTGTCCATGATACCGTCTTTACAATTACGATACAAGCATATGATATTCCTTCCGCTTTGCTTAGGCTCAAGTAGTGAAGAGTTGCCTGTTGAAGCTCTACGTCCTGCTCTGCCGCATAAAGCAAGAGGGAACTGCAACAAAGGAAAGAAGATAGAAAAAAACCTGCAACTAAGGCAGCTGCATGCTATCTTGGAAAGCTGAATTCCATCTCTGACGCTGCCCCAGAGATATTATGCAATGATACGCAAGTTGTGAAATGTCATCTTAAGTGGCTGTCACTGACTGTGTACATTTCATTTCCCAGTGTTTGACTTGAGGTCTGGGACCTGGGTGTAAGATCTGAGTCCATGACCTGCAAAAATACCAGCTACTTATAATCACAATCAAAGTCTGTAAGAAGTGTTTTTGAACATATGAATGATAAATATACTGGAAAAATTAGGCCCGAGTAATTTAAAGTCAGACACCCTGCATTTAATTGATCTTTGTAATTGTAACTACTCTGCTCTAGGATCCCAATTTGTAAAATAGCGAAGAATAATACTTCTAATCTGAGTGAGGTACAACAGTTCAGCTTATTTACGAGTTGTCAGCTATTATACTGATTAGTATCACAGAAAACAACAAGAAAAATGCAATTAATAGTTCTGTCCCTAGTGCAGAACTTCAGCAGCATATAACAGTCAAAGCACGAGGCCCACATTATCAGTAATGAGGAAAAACCACAATACTGAGTAGCTGTTTTTTACATGAACTACATTCAGACTATTTGATAACTGAAGCAAAATCCTTACTGCAAAAGAAGATGATAGCATAATTTAAAATTCCATAAGCAAAAAAGAAAGATTGCACAAGCAACCTTAATTTTGGTGTTTGCAAGTTTAGGCGCCTTAAAGTTCTTTTAGTTCTCTACAGCCTTAAAGTTCTTTCAAACACAACATTTTGCTTAGCTATTTAGGTACTTATAAAAAAAAAAAACTAGAAAAAAATCATTTTCATCCTTTTATACCATATTGATAGTGGTGTGGCTCATCAACTGGAACTTTTAGGTCTCTTGCCTCTCTATGTTGTGTAAAGAAAATACAAAATTTATATAAAAAATTTAAATAAATTAATTTATATTTTTTCTAAATAATAGAAATTGAGCTTAGATAGATCCTGTTATTTCTGGTATTTCTTAGAGGGGAACCAAAAATTTTTGTGATGTCCCAGGCACAAAAATGCCAAGAAACTGAAGCAAACAACAAAAGCCTGTATTTTGATATGAGTTTAACTTAAATTCCTAAAAAGCTGCTGAAAAAAACCAAACTGTGAAATCATCAGACACTGGTTTTTTGACTTAAAGATTTATAAAGCTCCTGATCCCCTTACTTGGGGAACTTTTAACACAGGCAGGAAAAGGGATGACTTGGTATTTCCATTATTGCAAACATTTAAAACATTATATATGAACCAGCAGGAAAAGCAGCCAGTTATTAAAGGGAAAAGAACCCTGCTCAGAGACATCTTAATGCAAACCGATGATCACACATGGAAAGCAAAAAAAGCTGTTTTTCAGCTTGACCAGTCAAATTCAAGTGAGGAGGGAACTGTTCAAGCAACTTTCTTAAAAAAAAAAAACCCAACACACCCCAAAATAACACAAAAAATACAACAAACCCCCCAACAAAATGCAAAAGCCCCTCAAAACCCCTTTCCCCAAAGGCAGATGGTTTGAGAGTGGGCAATGATTGGCAACACTACTAAGTCAAGAATAAGTTCCTCACCACCATCTGTTTAATTGTGCCTGGAACTATGCCTTAAAAATCAACACAAGAAACAATTTTTTATTAATAGGATGGACCCTGAAACATCCCTGCCATCTTCTACCAGTCATGAAAGTTGGGTGACCAATTTGCAGACTTCCAGCAAACATTTCTGATTTCATGAGGCAAAAAAGGGACAACTTGGAGATAGTGGATTGTTTATTAAATCATGTCTGTGGCTCTACTGTGATAGCCTAACTTCAGACAGATTTATCAGGAATTCTTTATAAAAAAACATCAACTCTGTAGCAGACATAACAAGATTGGCTCACTAGAATGCCCATTAAATAGCCTCAAAGCTAAAGTTATGTTAGTATTGTAGGAAACTTTAAAGCCCATTGATCCATTTATTTCCATAAAACTCAATAGAAATAAGAGTCCATCAGCAGGTTCTTTACTTTTTGGAAAAGAGCCCAAAGGCAAACTGAATGTGCAAGATTCCCCTTAAAATCACATTCTGTTGATGCTACAAGAATTTTTTAGTCACGACACAGGAATAGCATCTATGTTATGATCCATCTGGCTTAGTGCATTTATTTTTTTCCCCCCACCACTGGTTTTCCAGTCACATCCCCTGCCATTGCATCATCAGTTCCAAATAATTTTTAAATCATGATGATACGTGACACTGAAATTAAGGCAGGAAGTCTGTAGATGCCAGACTATCAATTTCTTAAATAACACGCTGTTCTTAATAAATCCTTTATTGTTCTTATTTATAAGTTGTTCTTAAACAACAAGTGGTTCTCATTACTATTTCACAATCAACTTCTGAAATGTCCACATCAGACTGAAGCTCCACTGCCTTTTGTAATGGCAATGATTAAACAGTCTCACTCAAGGGGTGTAAAAGCTAAGTGAAGAGGTATTAAGATAAACAAATGGTGGGTGAAAGTACTGTTCTATTTTTGATACAGAAAAATGATAGACACTGACTTTAGAAAGGTAAGTGAAGAAGTTTGCAGCAAGGCTAAAAACTAAATCCAAATATCCCGAGACAACAAAAGCATCCTTCCTGTGAAAAGAATCCATCAGAGAATGGCTCAGTGGAAAACAAACATTAAGTCCTCAATATCTGAAACTATTACCTGTATTAGCTTACCGGTGCTCTATATTCTCTGCTAAC